TTTCCTCCATGGGAAATATCACTGTGATATTGTAGCAGGGATTCCTTCACTTACCACAATTAAAATAATATGCACAAAATTTTTAACAGCCATTTTAAAAAATAAATATTTACCAAGCTTAGTTTGATACGATATGGATCCACAAGCGACATCAGATGCACAGTGAAGATTGAATTCCTTACAGGATAATGCTATGCAAGATTCCTTGCATGATAATGCTCTGCGAGGTTCCTTGCATGATAATGCTCTGCGAGATTCCTTAGATGATAATGCTCTGCGCGATTCCTTACAGGATAATGCTCTGCGCGATTCCTCGCATGATAATGCTCTGCGCGATTCCTTACATGATAATGCTCTGCGAGATTCCTCGCATGATAATGCTCTGTGAGATTCCTTGCATGATAATGCTCTGCGAGATTCCTTGCATGATAATGCTTTGCGATATTCCTTGCTTGATAATGCTCTGCGTGATTCCTCGCATGATAATGCTCTGCGAGCTAAAATTGCTAAACACAGCTAGCTGCCTGTAATGTCATTTATTACAAGTAGCTTAAAGTTTTCGTAGCTAGTGTATTTTCGCAATATGAGAAAGGTATAAATTTATCTATTCTCTCCAGTCAGCTAGGCAAAAGAAAGGGTAGACTGGGGCTCCAGTGATATCTTAGACTACATTGAATTCAAAATCCTGGAGAAGAAAACGGGAAACTAATCCGCTATCTTTTCAGAGAATCATGAGTAATTTCAGATAAGAAAGAAAAGCATCTTTGGAGACCTATGTCACCCAAAGGCAGTGATTCTTAACTGCCATGCCCGTCCTGGGAATGACGTTAAACTACATCCGCGTTCTGGGTAAGACGATAAACTACATCCAGCAGCAAGGCCTCTGATCAGGAGGTTTTGAGGAGCGTGGACCGCCTCTTAATTGCTGGTGTTCCTAGGTTCACCCTGTCCCGGGGTGGTAGCACCTGTTAAGGTACCAGCTATGGGCAAATAGTTAACTATTACCAGCAATACTTTTTTGAAAAAAATTATTACCAGCAATACAATTTTGAAGGAAAAATATTACCAGAAACAGATTTTTGGCAAAACAAAATATTTCCAGCAATGTTGTCGGCATTAAATAACCCATTGAGGTTGATATGCCGTAAAACAAAATAAATCAAACCAAACTTAACCGCCATGCCACAGCATACTATTGCACCGCGCCATTCTCTTAAGTGTGCTGCGAAATATTGTCACGGCATACATATATGTGTGTGTGGATGTAGTAATGGCACAACGTTAGTATTTTACTAAATAAACTGCACAAATAGTTGAATAGAAACATTGAAATAAAGTCAGTTCATATTTATGTGTATTTTAAAAAGATCCATGTTTTTATTTTATAATATTTAAATGTATACCCTTTTAAAAATCTTGATAAGTGTGCCTTTGCTTAAAAAGGCTGTGAAACACTGGGTTAATGTAATCGTTGGTGGTGGCGTGACGTTTCTTATTTTGGCACAAGACAACAAATATAACGTAACCAGTATTCGATGGTAATGGTCAAACACACTAGCTTTCTTAACCACAAGGAAAGTTGGTTCTCTATGTCGTGCTAGAATGTTTTTCTCGTCTGAGTCAATCCTTCAAATCTATAAATGAACCATTGCATGGAATATTGCTGTCGTATATGGTCTGGTGCTCCCGCTGTGCGTCTTGAGGTCCTCGACAAAATGCAAAGACGAATATGCAAAATGATAGGTCCTGATCTGGCATCTAGTGTGCAACCACTACCCCACAGACGTGCTGTGGCCATCCTCTGTCTCTTCTACAAATACTTTCACGGCAACTGTTCCGACGAGCTACTTTCGCTGGTTCCCGGACTGCATGAATTTAAGAGAGCTACCAGGCTGGCATCTCGGCCCCACCCTTTCACTGTCAAAACGGTTAAATGTAACCGTCTCTTCCACTCAAACAGCTTCTTCTCCGGCACTTCCCGTCTGTGGAACTCCCTTCCCCTTACTTGCTTCTCCGATGACTATAATCTTCAAATATTCAAGTGTAATGTCAATCGATATCAGACACCCTGAGCTTGTCCCCCGTCCTTCTCTGTAAGTTTTCCTCAAACACACTTCTTTACTCTTGTTCTCAATCCTCTGTAACTCTTTGCCTGTTAGTATGACTCCCGCCTTGACTGGGTTAAATTGCTTTAAAAAATACAGACCAAGGTGGCTGAAAAGGACTAAATTAATTACTAGTATGTTAATTATTGAAATACTTATCAAATTAGTGAATACTAAAAATTCCAACAAAATTCACATTATGTTTTTTCAATAGTGAAGAGAACTCCATGCATTTGCACCTGGTTGTGGCGTTGATAGAAAAAAAAATTTAGAAACACTACCCTAAATGAATATGGCATTAACAAAATTCACATTATTGTTGGCATTAAATGATGTTATATATTATTTATTATATATTATTGGAAAGTTATTGTAATCATTTGGATTCAATATCCATTCAGAATTAATAATATGAAACGATTATCGTAGAAATATGAATCATGCATAAAACTAAATATCATAATGATAGATTATTAAGTTTTCTGTTAAATAAAAAAAGCTTTCTCATCAGTATAAAATGTTTAGTTAGTTTTTCTTTCTTTTATATTTTTTGTTGCTTGTAGACGCAATATTCGAAATGTATGCGAATTTCTTAGATGAAGCATTGTCGTGAGTGACTTAAACCTCACGATAAAAAGCAAGAAAAAATCAACGATAAAGCATTCCAAAATTGATAATATTTATTTAATAAATTTAACTTCATATTTTTACTTTTTTTTAACGTACAGAATAGCTATTTCTCTAACTCTGTTTGGCACAAGGCCATGATGAAAAACTCAGTGAAGACTGAAATATGTGTTAAACAGAATTTAGACCAGGAAAACGTGAAAGCAGTAGAGAATCTAGTAATCATCGCACTCACTGAACCCTCTAATCGATTATTGGCGGGAATTTACTGTCGTAGACAAACAATAAGATCCCACATTTCAATAAGAGAGTGTACTGATTAAAAGCAATGTTTTAGTTTTTATTTCATATTGGGGGTATCTATAATAATCCAGAACCTTTTCAGAAGAAATATCTCAACCATTCACTTGTTCCCAGCTGTATTAACGTCGCTGAAGATTGTCATTAAAAAAAAAAAAAAACTAGAAAAACTCTGGAAATAACTTGTACAATTTCTGAACAAATCTTTCCAACGAACAAATCTTTAGCAGATATATATATTCAAGAAGAAACGCACACGGATATACACACTCACGCGCACAGATATACAACATGCATATGAATACGTGGGTAAATTATAAGCCAGTAAAAACGAAAAAAGCAGAGAGACGGTGAAATCTAACGGAAATGCTATCTTATGATTCTCTCCCTTGCTTGATTAATCTAATCAGCATTATATCAAAGGAGTGGATTTTCGAAATTGAATTTCGCGTTTTATCGAAGACTATAAAGAGTATTAGAAGTTGACAGATAAATTATTCATTTTATTAATGTGTAGATTGGAAACATCAACTTGCAGAAATCGGTTGGTGCAGAGATGGTAGCAGCAACGTGATAAACGTGGAACAAAGAAGGGGGGAATAATGAAAAACAAAAAAAAACCGTAACAGCAAAAAAACTAAGGAAGATAAAGGGACTGAAAAGGAGGGAAAGAGAATTGTTGAAGGGCAAAAATTATAAAATGAAAACTGGGTGCTAACCGTAGAGTAGGGGTTAACGAGTTCATCCCTAAAACTAATTCATTCGAAATGTTTAGTATTAAGATTACATTTAAGAATGTGCAAGCAAGATGTGACCGTGATAAGATGTACAGTGTAACCCGGATATAAGAGACCCGGATATAAGAGAAACCCGGATATAAGAGAGATTTTCTCTGGTCCCAAATTAGAGCCTGTGTTGATGTATATAAATTAGACCAAACCCGGATATAAGAGAAACCTGGATATAAGAGACTTAGTCTCCGGTCCCGACAATTCTCTTATATCCGGGTTACACTGTAGTTTTAAAGTATGGTTTATTTATTTAACTGTCTATATTTCTGAGATGAAGTATTGTAAATGATGTAAATATGGTATGTTTATAGGGTAAAAGTGCTCAATATCCGGACAGAGCGTATCTAAATATATAGTCATTTTTTAAAGGGTTTTTTATTTCTTATTACTATAAACATTATTTTTTAGAGAAGCCAGTAATGATCGCACTTTCTAATTAATTCTTGAGTTGCTGTCCCTGTTTTTTATTTTATTTTATTAAACATTAGCATTAATAACAGCAAGCCTAATTTGAGAAGTCCTACTAAAGAATGATCGTACCTCCGACGGGAATCGAACCTGCGTCCCTTTTTACCTCAGGGAAACTACTTTTAAGCCGAAAGTTGACTCTACCAGTTAGGGGGCCTAATTGACTTGACAAAGACAGAATAACCTGTTAGAAGACATAATATTCTCGTTGAGAATTCTATATGCAGGTTCGATTCGTATATTTGAAGAATCTGGTATTGAGAAATCAAAAATCAAAGAAAATATGCAGAATATTAAGAATATCATGTAAATACTTTTACGAACCCCCATCTAAATTTATTAGAAAAACTATACCATTGCTTATATTTCAGAAGCATTCTAAAATAAAGAGCCCAGTACTTACAGAAACGTAAAGATAGTAAGCCCAAAGAGATAGGTAGACTTAGTGGCGACAAAGATTAACCATAATGTACCCTTCCTTTCTATTTTGGTCAACGTGTTGACAGCATGGTTTACACGGATAGATTCCAGATAGGAAAAGTTGAAACACTTTAAACTAAACTTTCTCTGACCCTGCAGATGAGAGAGGGGGTTAATGACCTCATTTCACCCACAATGGGAAAAAGTTCGTATTTGAAAATTGATCACGTGACAAGAAAAAAAAAAGGAAACGAATAGAGAAACGAAAAAAGTTAGTCTTGTCCAGGCCTTAGGGCCGGACAGACGTGTTTGTGAAAAATACAAGAGTTTTGTCCAGGCCTAAGGTCCGAACGGACGTGTTTGCGAAAAATACAAGAGTTTTGTCCAGGCCTAAGGGCCGAACAGACGTGTTTGCGAATATACGAGAAAGAGGATTCATCTTCGAATGGAATAGATGGACCCGTTTGCTATGAACGCAAATATCTTCGAATGGAATAGAGGGACCCGTTTATTAGGAACTCAAAAGATTTGGTTGGCTATGCAGAAAAACAAAAGTCCCTCTCCGAACCTCGAACGGACGACAGAACACAAGCGCGTGGAACGCGAAAGAAACGTTGAATTTTGGGAAATAAACTACGGAGTATGCGGAATGGTGCTACATCGGGACGAAAGAAAGATAGAAGACAGTTTCGATTTGTTTGTCACCCAAGTCTCGAGACCAGTCGCAGATAGAAAAAGAAAAGAAGAAAGCAAGAAAAGATCTCAAAGGGAGATACTTATGGGAAAAGGAAAGAAAGGAGGAAAAGATCTCAAAGGAGAATGCTGCCACACCGAGATGAAGGAGAGAGAGAGAAAGGTAGCCGTTTAATCGTCACCTGAGCCCCTAAACAAGAGACGAAAGGGAAAAGAAAGAAAGTAAGAAAAGACCACCTCTGACGAGAATGCTGCTACACCGAGACGAAAGAAAGAAGGAAAGCAGTTTCAACTTAATCGTCGGCCAAGCCCCTAGACAGAACGAAAAGAGAAAGAGAGGAAGTAAGAAAAGACCTCAAAAGGAGACGCTTATAAAAAGAAATAGAAAAAGAAAAAAGAGAAAAGAAAAGAAGAAGTAGATATAAAAGACATTAGTGGAAAAAAACTTTTATTATGAGATAAGTTCGTTGTTTTTCTCGTGCTTCGTTTTTGTTTAAATGTACTTCTTTTTAATGTTTGTACTTTCATGCAATTCTGGCATGAAATCCTTTTATTACATGTTTCTTTCTACTTGTCTTAAAATTTCGATGTTTTGTAAATTCGTGCAAGTATGGCACATGTACTGAAAATTCGTGCAAGTATGGCACAAGGCCATACGTTGATTTGTGTTTTACCTTCCTAAGAGGATATTCCCCTCCCACTATTTTGTCCACAATGTTTAAATGCTTATTCTTTACACATTGTCATCTTTGTTTTGGTCATTTTTTTTTTATATTTCCCATGTTTTTACGTCTTTTTTTTTTTTTTTTTTTAAAGCATTTCACCCCTAGCAAGGCGGGAAGCCACTAGCACGCAAGGGGTTATAGAAGATTTGGAGCTAGAGTAGGTAGGAATAATAGAGGAAAGGATGAGGAGAAGGATAGTGGATAGATCAAGGCAACTGGAGATGTCGATTGACATTACATTTGAATAGTTGGAGATTATAGCTAGTAGGGACATAGAAATCGGGAAGGACGTTCCACAGGCGAGAGGTGCGAGATATGAAGTTATTGGAGTAGAAGAGGCGGCTACATTTAACAGTTTCAGCAGTGAAAGGGTGAGAGCGAGATACCAGCCTCGTAGGACGCTTGAATTCGAGAAGTCTGGGAACTAGCGAAAGCAGCTCATCGGAGCAATTACCATGAATTTTGTTAATAAATTTATATTTCCCTGTCTCCATTGTTGTTTGTCGCCTATCGTGTTTGTTCCTTAATCGATTCCGCTCGGCCTTGTCTGATCAATCGGAAAGAGACCATTGGGGAAAGAAATATATTTTACGAAAATCGAGTGAATGTAAATGTCAAAAAGAAAACAAAAATAACACAAATTAAGATCCTCCACTACCTCCGCTATCGATTGGGTTGGAGGACGGGGGAGGGTCGTAAGAATACATAAAAGAAACCAAACAACCCCGTTGAAGAAATTGATATGTTTATATTGAAGAAGTACATGAAAATTGATTTAAAATAGGAATTGTTAGTAATGAATGTAGAGCTATATTGGTCGAACCAGATTGCAAGGTGGGCTCTTCAGGGAAACAATCGGCCAACATGATTTAAAAAACAACACGGAAAAATTATGTAATGCTTTAGCCAAGAAATCTAATCTATTATTAAAGGTCCCATCAAAATTGATTATGGTCTTAAGATACATGCAGATTATTATTTTCAAGTTTTTGTGTGGTTCATGACAGGATTAATAAGAAAAATTAAACTAAAGCAGGACAATGCTACCTTAACATTTTGCAACGTTGCACTTAAAAGGGCCTTAAAGTTATTCAATTAATGCTCACTAGATATTAATCCATAGAAAAATTATGTTGTAGATGTATTTTAAAATGAAAAACTCAAGCAAATAAAATATTTGGTAAGAAATAAAAAAAAAAACTGTTGTAAATCACAACAATAGAAAAGTTGACAAAATTAAGGCAAGACTGATAAATTTTATAGACTGCGAAGGTGACCATATCTAAATTTAAAATAATAAAATCATAATGTATTACGGAATATAGGGTACTGTATTAATCAAATATATCTTTCTGTTGTAGTTATATTTGGGATTTATTCAGAAATAAGATTAATGTTGTACTTCGATATTCCCCAAACAAGTTATTATTATTAATGGACACATATTATAATCTGAAACTCACATGATATATTGATTCTTTAAATGAAAGTCTCTCCTGAAAATTTTACCAACCTTTGTTGGTTAATGTAAATTTGATTGTAAAAACACTGGCATTCAAAATAAATTCTGATATAATGTCCATGTATATGATAAGTGCTGAAAATCAGCACTGCGCATCGTTGATCATTGGAATTCAGCCCGATAAATTTTCAGCACCCATTCGTGTATATATATATATATATATATATATATATATATATATATATATATATATGTAACAAAATCCGTGGGTAAGTAATCCAAGTAGATCCTATTGATATAAAATATTAAAACTGATCAACAAAAGAGAGCTCAATATAATTTTTATTATAGAGCATATAAGTGAATTACGATTAATGAGATCCAAACAATTTACCTCATACAGATGATCACTGCGTTCATGGGAAAGTAATTTGTTCCTTGAACTTATCAATGCAACTACATTTACTAAATTTAGTAAATGTATTTGCATTGATAAGTCCAGGGAAAAACTACTTTCCCATGGGCGAAATGAGCATCTGTATGCGGTAAATTGTTTGGATCTCATTAATTGTAATTCACACACACATACACACACACACACACACATATATATATATATATATGATCCTCCTCCGGCTTTAAATTCTGGGTTGTCCTTCTAGACCGACCCAGTCTGTCCTGCTATAAATAGCATAAGGAGAAGAAATGGATTCCCGTAATTCAAGAGGAATTCAAAGTCGTCTCTCCGATTCCTTACCTTTCCTAGACAAGAACGATATAATAAATTTCTATTCTCATTATAACAACAAAGTAAAATCCGGTAAAATCATCGAATTCTACTTAAGAGCACTCAGAATTTGCAGCCCTGAATATTTACATGAAGGGGAGAAATATATTGAAAATATTTTCAAGCTTCTTCAGTACCCTAATTATTTAATATCCAGTGTGAAAAAAGCCAAAAATATTAAAAAAAAAAAAAAAAAAAAAAGAAAAAAAAAAAAAAACAAACAAACAAACAAAAAAACAAACAAACAGTCCCTCCTGAAAAACTCAATAGATCAAAAAAACATATTGCCCTACCAACTAACTCTATCATATTTACAATTGGAAAGAAGCTATCTAAACTTAAAATTTGTTACTACTACATCTAAGACAATAAAAGACTTAGTCAATACTAAACAAAACAACAAGCTAAAACCTGAAGAAGTTCATTCTATCGTGTGTAATAATTGTCACAAAAATACATAGGGGAAACCTCATGGAATCTAAATAAACACAGAAGAGACATTTTACAAAACAATACATCAGATCCATAACGAGTTTAACCATACATGATGCTAGCCTGATCCAAAAGGAAAACAATTCACTACGACGTGAATACTTAGAGAGTACCTTGATCTCAAAGTCATCTCCAGTAAACTTGCATCCGGGCTCTTGCAACATTTCAACATTCCTTGCAGAACTTGTTATCACACTATGCGTTATCTAGTAACAAAAGTGATGGAAAGAAAAAGTATTTAAATGAAATCGGCTAAATAAAAAAAAAAAAGATTAAATTCCCTGCATCCGTCATCCGTGCGCATGTGTAGTTGCACCAATGAAAATTTAGTCCGATGAGGTCCTAAAGGACGAAACGCGTGACAAAATACTTTTTCCGCTTTGTCATACATTTCTTCCCAATATTGTTCCGGATATATATATATATATATATATATATATATATATATATATATATATATTTCACCTAAAGCGATCATCAGGGCCAGTTTACCCTGACGATCCGTTTAGGTGAAAGCTAGGTAGGCTTGCCTGGCTCTTTAGGTTTTTATATATATATATATATATATATATATATATATATATATATACAGATTTGTTAATTTCGCTCTCGCCTAGTGACTGACCTCTCCTGCATACTATATTACAATTGGATTTTGGCATAATTTATGATACAGCGCTACGTGTGCAGTTATATAAAGTGTTTCTGACCCTTTATTATATATATATATATATATATATATATATATAAGTAAATATATGGATATAGATCCGACGGTATGAAGAAAATATACAGAAAAAACAAACAAAAATCTTAATATGCAATTATGCTGTATTAATGTTAATATAATGTCAACGTCGGACGTTTCGGTCTATTTTAGACCATCATCAGTACATATTCATAAAACATAATTAACATTAGACTACATTCAAATTCAACATGAAAAAGACGATGGACATAAGAGCACGACTAATGTTGACATTATATTAACATTAATACAGCATAATTGCATATTAAGATTTTTTGTTTGTTTTTCTGTATATTTTCTTTCATATATATATATATATATATATATATATATATATATATATATATATATATATATATGCCACAGTAACACAAATAGTAAAATATTTTTAAAACTGAACGTATTAAATGTGCTCAATACAAAGTCGGAAGACCAGACTTGCAGAGCTATTTAATATTTACAAAGGATGAAAGCTGACCACAGCACACTGCCGCGGTTTCGACCTCTACGCTCTCCTGAGGTGGTATGTTCAGCAAATCAGCTATACGGAGCTCAGCAACTTAAGCATTTTTGAAACCGGATATAGTTGGGGGAGAAAAACATTTCTAACTTTAATCGGGTTCAAATAACCCCAAGCTGAACTTCTTAAAATGTCTGCATTTGGTCATGACCTCTGTCCTCCTGTTCAGTAATTCATTGCTGTTTTTATATGTTGCTATATCCAGTTTCTTTTCTTGGTATAGCCTACACCTATTCTCGACTATTATGTTACTTTAAATTTCTTAAAATACTCCGTTTAATACTTGGACTTTTGTTATGTTTCTGCCTAAATTTCCAATAGTAGCTTGTTAGTTTCGTGCTGTACCTATGCTCCGGAATTCTAAAAGAAGAGGTGTGATTGTACCACCTCCACTTTAACTTGCCCTCAGTTCACCCAATATATTTTTTTTTGTGCTACCATTTTCAACTTCCACTTCGGCACAATATACAACCCTTTCAGTACGGCATAATCCATTTAAAGGACAGTTATTTTTGTCCTGCAATTGCATAATGTCGTATTACCGCAACAGTGTGCTCTGGTCAGCTTTCAGGTTTTTTTAAACATATATATATATATATATATATATATATATATATATATATATATATATATATTAGGTTTGAAAATCATAATGAAGCGAGAAACTAAGACACCATGTAGCAATGATTCCTATCTTCAAAATTTCTGTATCTATAAACTCTCCCTGTCCGAAATTGCTCACTCTTCGATTACAGATATTGTACATTTCAATCTAGAGAGAGAGAGAGAGAGAATAAAAGTAGAGAGATACGGAAAGAGGCTGAAGTGAACAGAAAGATACACACACACACACACACACACACACACACACACACATATATATATATATATATTACGAATTAAATTTCTAGCGCACTGTCGCTGACCACAAGTGTCAGTTTCACGCTTTCACGCAATCAACAGTTGAATTAATAATATATATATATATATATATATATATATATATATATATATATATGTGTGTGTGTGTGTGTACATTCATTTACGAACAACTAAATTAATGTATATATATATATTAATTTAATATATTAACTTACAAAAAAAATTTATAGTATTATATATATATATATATATATATATATATATATATATATATATACACATATATATATATATATAAATATATATGTATACATTGATTTAATTGCTTGTAAGTGAATATATATCTATATATATATAGAGAGAGAGAGAGAAAGAGAGAGTGAATAACAGAAGTGTGACATAAAAGTAGAGAAATATAAAGTGTACTGGAACAGATAAAGTAATATATAGAAAGAGAGGTGATAGTAGAATAAAAGTTATGTAGAAAGAGGTTGAGAGAGAATGAAAAGGTAAATTCAACGTGTAAGGATAGTGAGTATCGAATGGAAAGAAACAAACGTTAATTGATGTTCAACGTGTGCACTATCTGCAAACATTCAACGCGCCACGTGTAATAAAGACAAAACAACATTAAAGAAAGATTTTTTTTTCTTGAAGAGTCACATTTCAAAGACGTTATTCCGTTGATTGATTCAAATATTTCCTCTTTCATCGATTAAACAGGCTTTAAGGAAGAAAATAAAATAAATAAAGCATCTTTTCGCTTTACATTTTCCTCGAGTTTTGATTAAAATTATGCTGGAAGATTGCCGTATCAAACCTGTTTATCTTTAAGCAATTCGACGCGTTTTCCCATGTTTCTTTTCTCTTCTTTTTGTATTTCAGGCAAAATTTTTCACGCCTGCTTTTGGCAAACACACAAACCTTTATCAGGCGAGCTGAGCTGATAACATGAGAGATGTGTTCGTATCAAACCGAAGTGGGAATCAGCCGCTTACTTTGGTCTTAATATGATTAGGCTGGCGACCAGAAATGACATGAAGTAGTTGTCTACAGACTGATGAAGACAGTACACACAAGTTGACATCAGTACCCGGATGATCAAACATATGGAATATTGAAATAAAAAATAAATAAATAAAGCAATACTTTCAACGCTTAAGGTCAGAGATGACATTGTATTGAAAAAGCTTCCGTTTTATTTTAGTATTTGTTCTGCGGTAAATTTATAAAATATCCGCTGTTGGTAATCAAAAGCTGGTCACATGAATTATTCAAAGAGGATTGTTGCACAATGTAGTACTGAATGCTTAACGTTCAAATCCGTTAGATATAAAGTAAAATGTGAGTTTAAAAAAAAAACAAAAAAAAAAAACAAAAAAAAAAACAACCGTAAAGATCAGGTTTTAAGTGTTAACGTCTGATTTCGATAAAACCAGTGGCATGAAAACAAATTCCTTTTCTTCCGAGAAGAATAAATTTTTATTTATCTGTACCCTACCAACAATGCGCATAGCGTACTGTTCATCAGCGTGTCGAGTTGAAACTGAGACCATTGTGTTCCCATTCTCACAAATACACTTGGAAAGTTATGAATCCCTCGCCAGCTATAGGTTAAATCCTAGGGAAGAGCGGGATTACCTGTGTCTAGCTGATGAGCTCATCAATGCTGCAAAGGGTTCCTCCAATTCTTATGCAATTAAGAAGAAAGATGAACTGGAACGAGTGGTTTCAATCCAACCGTTAAAAATGTGACACTCTGCAGGATGGAAATAAACATCTTTTCAAGTTAAAAAAAAAAGAAAAAGGAAAAAAAAAAGAAAAAAAAAAGATAAGATTATACACACATTACAAAAATCTCGCAGTGAGTATTTTCCTTGTCGTGTAGGCATGTACCTTTTGCATAAGAAGACTCTGTTCCAGAATTTTCCTTCTGAGGGAACTTTTCCCGCCTTAGCCATTTTGATTTTCGTTTTGGTGCGGAACATTAACATTCTTTTACTGACTACTTGTCACTACCTTATACAATTTGCCTACTTGCTAAGAACTAGCTTTACTTTTCTGATAGTCTCCACTGTTTGAGACAAAATACTTTTTATTAAATAAAGTTTTATATTTGTTTTCCACCAGACTCGTTTTCGTCGTTCCTCCTGGCTACCTATTTTTACTTTTATATGCATGTGTTGAATGACCCTTTTTCCTCACTAAGGAGACTGTAATAATTCTATGGTTAAAAGATCACACATTTATTATTTTTACTTATTCTTTTTTTTTTACTTTGCTAGTGAATTCGGTAGTCGTGAGTAGTGTCTGGCACAAGACCACCTTTTCGTAGGCCAGCCCTGCATGCTATCGGGTCTGCTACACCTGCTTTGGTTGTAAAAACTTGGGTTGCGAAGACACCTTCGGAACCGTGTTCACAACCACCGACTTTACACACACACACACACACACACACACACACACACACACACACACACACACACACACACACACACATATATATATATATATATATATAATTCCGTCATTATTTACGCTATTTATATTCTTCAGACTGTTGTCCTCATCTTTTTTGCCATATTTACAACGTTGCCAACATATATCTATCATAATATAAATGTAGTGGTTATTTATTTTATTTGTTTATATTATTTCTTGATTTTTGATTTTAAATCATTTTAATTTAATTTAATTATATATATATATATATATATATATATATATATATATAGATAGATAGATAGATAGATAGATTAAGGATAGTAAATCTTCATCTCTATATAGATGTCTATATATCGTTATGAATGTATGTTTATATTCGTGTATCTTGTGACCAATTTGAAAAGCTCAGTATTGAATAAAAGGACTTTTATATTTCGCTTTATCTACGGAAACCCTATTTATATTTCTCTTAGAAAAGCATAACACTTTTCATTTAGTGTGTAATGCAATAAATTAGATTTTCGTATGAATAGATTTTTATACTAGTCTAATTATTAGTAGGCTCATTTAGGTGTTTTATATCTTGTTATATATTTTTTATTGATCTAGATTCTTTTTCAATCATTATATATTTATATCTCTGTACATAGTTGTACGTAAAGATCGAATATGCACAAAATATGAACCTTTTATAAACCTTTATAAAACAAACTGAAAAGTTATTGCAGGGGAAATTAAATAATTGATAAACTGTTAATTTGGCTAAACGAAAAATAAATAAATATTTGTTACATTTCCCGGCTGTATGTGACTATACGACAAGAAACGAATGGCAGATTGCTCAAATGAATAAAACAAATTTATTTTAGCGTAATGACAATAACAAATGGAAGAAAATATTGAGAGAAAGAACACAAAACTTTATATATAGAAAGAACAGCAAGAAAAGAAAAAAAAAGAAAACAAAAGAACAAAAATACACAAAAAACAAAAAAATAAGATATGTTAATATTGTGCAAACTGAAGACGTAATGCGGAAAGAACGAATCGATACTACTGATTGCAGTAATGGCCGGATACGTGCGGGCTGATCAAGGTGTAATACAAGAAAAGAAAATACTAAAGGATGAGAGAGAAAGTATGGATGAGATGGAAAAAGAAAAGAGTAAATACGTAGTTGAATGTAAAAAAAAATAAAAAAAATGAATAACAGTATGAAAGGTTAAATCGTATAAACGATGAACTGGGATAACGAAAGAGGAATCTCAAGACAGAAAAAAAAACCCCAAAATGTAGTGAAAATAATGAATGCTAAAAATTGACCTACAGAGGTTTTACTTTAATTATCTTCCCCTGTCGGTTCTGTTGTCTTTTTTTTTCTTTTTTCGGGGCTGATCTCATTTTAGGAGTGTTTCATTATCACCTGCCAGGCCCTACAAACGGGAAATTATCTTTTTTTGACCAAGATTACATTTTCTGTCTTTCTGTAATAAACTCGTCCTTGGAAACTGTTTGAAAATACAACTGACAGGAATCGACATAATGTCAATAGAGATGAGAGATAGAATAGCAATCACGGGCAATAAGAAAAAAAAATGGCGTAAAGAGAGTGAGAAATATGACGTAGACAGAGCTGCCATGACGTGTAGTCGCGGTTAGCAAGTTTCTGCTGGAGTGAGTTTTTTTCTTCATTCTGTGAATTACACACGTGGCCTTATTTCAGACCAAGTGAAGTTTAGTTAAAGTCTAAATCAAACTCGTTATCATGACTTGACCGCCCCACCCTAAAGGTTATGCCAAGCATAATAAAAAATAGTGACATGATATAATTGGATGAAGAAGCTATATATCACCAACCACGTGACCAAGTAAGTATACATCGTGAATTGCATAACTAATTAAGTAAACTCAAACCTGAAATTCTTTATCAACCTGCAGCAAACATTAAGCCTCACTGCAGCAGTAATCAGCATAGATGGCTACCAACTTGCATACACTGATACCATCAAATATCTGGGTAGCACTATCTCCCGGGATGTTTCTCTGGACAAAACTAGGCACTAACTAAGGTGGTTATGCCACAGAGCGCCCGATCAGCACAACATACACTTGTTAAGGAACAATGCAACGGTCTTCCCGTTCTCTCTTTTACGGATTCTAAACATGGACCTTGTAGTACATGCTCACCAAAAAATTGAAAGAATCCCAAATGCATCATCAACTTTGAACGTGCGGACTCGACATCAAATCAAGCATCGAATCAATGCTCATCAAGGCATGTCCGATAGACTGATCAAGTCATCCGCAAAAATCAACTACATTACCAAACGCCTGTTGTGGGGAGACTTGTTATGTAGCAGAAGACATCAAGGCCAACCAAAGAAACTGATCAATCAAAACGCATGATCAGACCAAAGGAACATGAAGAGTTTGACACCGACCGATCTTGTTAGCATTCCATTTTCCATCAAGCTTCTGTAAACTTCGGAGAAGGCCGGAGCGAAAAACACACTACTGAAAGAGAATATCGTCAACGTGCAAATTAACCATTGTTCACAACCACCGACTTCTAGTGACCTCACTGCTCCAGACCCCGTGTGTTCAAACTTGGGTTGCGAAGACACCTTCGGACACGTGTTCACAACCACCGACTTCCAGTGACCTCACTGCTCCAGACCCCGTGTGTCCAAACTTGGATTGCGAAGACACCTTCGGACCCGTGTTCACAACCACCGACTTCCAGTGACCTCACTGCTCCAGACCCCGTGTGTCCAAACTTGGGTTGCGAAGACACCTTCGGACCCGTGTTCACAACCACCGACTTCTAGTGACCTCACTGCTTCAGACCCAGTGTGTCCAAACTTGGGTTGCGAAGACACCTTCGGACCCGTGTTCACAACCACCGACTTCTAGTGACCTCACTGCTTCAGACCCTGTGTATCCAAACTTGGGTTGCGAAGACACCTTCGGAACCGTGTTCACAACCACCGACTTCCAGTGACCTCACTGCTCCAGACCCTGTGTGTCCAAACTTGGGTTGCGAAGACACCTTCGGACCCGTGTTCACAACCACCGACTTCTAGTGACCTCACTGCTTCAGACCCAGTGTGTCCAAACTTGGGTTGCGAAGACACCTTCGGACCCGTGTTCACAACCACCGACTTCTAGTGACCTCACTGCTTCAGACCCAGTGTGTCCAAACTTGGGTTGCGAAGACACCTTCGGACCCGTGTTCACAACCACCGACTTCCAGTGACCTCACTGCTCCAGACCCTGTGTGTCCAAACTTGGGTTGCGAAGACAACTTCGGACCCGTGGAATAAGTTTTAATTTACTTATTGATTGATGCCGATATGGCTTAGACCATAGAACACGTATTGAACTCACACTCTTTGAGGACACATTGTACAGTGGATAAAGGCGTTGGTTAGATCCAGTGACAGGACCCAAAGAGTGTGAGTTCAATACCTGGTTAAGGCGGTAGAGAACTTGGAGAGGGGAATTAACAGAAGATAACTGATAACTGAAATCCATTAGACATGGCACGTGGAACTAGAACAGTCTACTCCAGTAAGCGAAATAAAGGGTTCAGTTCGACATTCCAACAACCTGAAGAAGGCCGGAGCGTAGAACGGCCGAAACGTTGTGATAAATATGGCAACAAAGATGAGGACAATAGTCCGAATAATGTAAATAGTGTATCACCATTCATATAAAGAATCCTTCTCGACGCGGTGTAATGATTAGCATGCTTGTCTCGCTAGAACAATTACGACTGAGTAGGGAGTTCGATCCTCACTGGGTGCCCCCGTGCTTTCGGCCTTGTCCCACATCTAAGCTACTCTTAGAAAATCAGCACACGATGAATCCAAAATGGTACTACCTCTATATACTAGAACAGGGACTAATTTTATAGGAACTGGGTGTAGGACAGTCACAAGGGCACTAATTAAGAATCAAATCCATTACGTAGAAATCGTAGCCTGCAAAGAACACTAAGAAACACCTAATATGCATTGAAACACCTGATGTCTCTCAGTGTGACACAAGGTCATAAAAATAGGACATCCAACAACGTAGAACATAATGGTTTGTGATGAAAGTTCTTTTTTGTGGGTGATGGCGAATTAGTGCTCTCTGGAGAAATAACTGAAGTATTTACGAAGTTACCTTAGTAAAAGCTATAAGTGCAGGGTTCAAGTTACTGCGTTAGTGATGCATAGGTAGGTTACTAAATAAAACTAATGCCTCGAGAAATACTATCAAAGATCCAGCATGGTATATCAAGGATCTTCTATTTTCTTCTGTCCATGTCGGCGTCAGTCAGAATCCAAATATTCAATGAGCAAATTTAAGCATTCAACGAAAAATAAAAATAAATTGCGGCTTGAAATCGGAAGATAAATCCTGTTTAATATATACTGTGTTTATCGCTTGCTTTTAAAAGATAAATTAACTGTTGATTCAATCATAACTGAGTTTCTAATTAGAAAGATTATGTAAATAAAAAAGACATGTGTTCAGTTGAAGTGTAACAGATAAAAGTTGCACAGGAAATTTGAACTTGATAATTCAGATAGACGCAAACAGAGGCGCCGACGACAAATCGATCTCTTTATCGCTTTTAAATGCTACTAATTATCTTGCAAGTCATTCAGCATGTATTTTTTTTACGTCAGTCGCTCATTTGATGTTTCTTCCGCAGATAAGAATTTGAAAAATAATTACTTTCATTAATTGTCTTCATTTAATTGCAATAATCCATTAAGCGATGTTAGTAGCAGTTGTAAATATTCCATGAAAACGTTAAACCGCTTTCGAGCATATTCTGTGTTTTTTTTTCTCATATATTTATGAAATAAACTTCGTGCTGCGTAGGTAATTTTTTAAAATACACATAAAGCAGAAGAAAATGTGCCAGCTAGCAGATTTTCTGTTCTGGCATACAGATAAATAGCCCCAATCCCATATATATATATATATATATATATATATATATATATATATATATATATATATACGTGGCCTGACGATTGCATATGGTGTTGACTTCTATGTTCACTTTTATATTTACAAACGCTCTATCTCTGATATTGAGCACTTTATCCCATAAATATAGCACACCATAAGACTATATTTCTTATATATATATATATATATATATATATATATATATATATATATATATATATATATAAAGGATCAGAAACACTATATAAATGCACACGTAGCGCTGTATCATAAATTATGCCAAAAGCCAATTGTAATATAGTATGTAGGAGTGTTCAGTCACTAGGCGAGAGCGAAATTATCAAATCTGTATATATATATATATATATATATATATATATATATATATATATATATATATATGCGCCCTTTGGAGACCTAATTTTGAAGCTAATTTGACTACAGTAAATGGATATATAATTTGGTCAATGGCATAGCCAGAGCTAGCAGTACATACGTGTATTTTTTTTTAGGGCAATTTACCCCAAGCAAGGCAGGAGGATTGAGAACAAGAATAAAGAGGCGTGTTTGAGGAAAGAATACAGAGATGGAAGGGGAACAAGCACAGGGTGACATTAAATTTGACATTATACTTGAAGATTTGAAGATTATAGTTATCAGGGAAGCAAGTAAGGGGAAGGGATTTCCACAGACGAGAAGCGCGGGGGAAAAAGCTGTTTGAGAAGACGAGACGGTTACAATTTAACCGTTTTAATAGTGAAAGGATGGGACCGAGACGCCAGCCTGGTAGCTCGTTTAAATTCACGTAGTCCGGGAACCAGCGAAAGTAGCTCGTCGGAACAGTTACCGTGAAAGTATTTGTAGAAGAGACAGAGGAAGTCCACGGCACGTCTCTGGGATAGCGATTGCCGACTAGGTGCCATATCAGGACCTTCATATCAGTCTCTGGATTTTGTCAAGGACCTCGAGATGTACACAGTGGGAGCACCAGACCATATATGACAGCAATATTCCATCAAGAACGGATGATTGATTTATAGATTAGAAGGAGGGACTCAGACAAGAAAAAACTTTCTGGCACGACACAGAGAGCCAACTTTTCTTTGCGGTGTTGTGAACTGGGACAGGAATTGGCTGGTCAACTTTAATGCCTCAAAAACAAGACTGCTCTCGATTAATCACCACAGAGATCCTTCCCTGCTCTCCATTAGAATGTCTGACGCTCAACTTCTCGAGAGTACCTCTCTGCGGCTGCTCGGTCTCACGTTGACTGCTGACTTGAGATGGAACAAATACATTGAGTCAATTGCTTCGTCCACTGCAAGGAAAGTTGGCTCCCTGTGCCGCGCCAGCAAATTTTTCTCCCCGGAATCGATCCTCCAGATCTACAAATCAACCATTCGCCCTTGCATAGAGTATTGCTGCCATATACAGTCTGGAGCCCCTTCTGTTTGCCACGGGGTTCTTGATAAGCTCCAGAAGCGGATATGCAATATAATTGGCCCTGATCTGGCATCTCGTTTACAGTCACTCTCTCACAGATGCGCCGTCGCCCCTCTCTGTCTTTTTTACAAATACTTTCATGGCTCCGAAGAGCTGCATTCGCTGGTTCCCAGACTTCATGAGTTCAAGCGCCCTACGCATCCCGCTCTCACCCTTTCACTGTCGA